TGCGCCGAGTAGTTTGCACCACACACATTGCACTGCATATATTGCAAGACATACGTTGCAAATCGTTCGTGCCACAAAATAATTTGCACGCCATGTCTGTGCGTGTAAATATATGTATACACATGTGTATAGGTACGTACAAACGGATACGTATAACTCGTTCCCCTCCCCCTCGCCGCCGCGCTCGTTTTTCCCCCTCCTCTTGCGCGCTGGCCAATTCGCTTGTCGGTCGCCCCGAATAGCCACGCGCTCGAGCGGACTGCCTCTGCCTTGCCGCCGATGACACGTATATGTATGTATATATATATATATATATATATAATATATATATATATATATATATGTATATTATATATATATATATATATATATATATGATATATATCAGAGTAGGGGGCTGAACCGAACCGTCGTTCATTGTCCCTGGGTGCGTGGTTGAAGTGGAACTCCGCGATGCGGATTGTTGTGTTGTGTTGTTGTTGTTGTCGTTGTTGTTGAACACTATTACTTCCAAAGAATTATTATTGTTGGACCCCCTGGTGCACGCCCCCCGCCCAAAACCTAGGCCGCAGCTACATTTTCATCATTTTTCTGCGAAAGCTTCAGAAAAGTGGATTACCCCCGGATCCGGTTTTTTGTTGACGCTCGTTTTCCCTTGCAAAAAACAATAGAAAATGAAAATTCTTGTTCTTAGTTGATCAAATTTCAAGAATCCCTTGCAAAAAATAAGGTAAAGTGGACATTCGCGCTCGCAAGACGAAATCCTTCCAAAACCTTAGGTTTCGTAGCGATTTTAACATAAAAACATCAAAAACCCAATGGTTTTTTAAGAAAAAATTGTCAAAATGTCCTTCCGCGCGCTCTTGCGGATTCATAGGAAACACACCACTTTTTAAACATTTCTGTCAAAAGGGTCTTTGCGTGCTACTTCTTCAGGTGCTTTGAACTTCTCCAACAACGGTTGCGCGCCTGCGAGGGCCACCATCCCTTGCAAAAAATGAGACGAAGTGCACATGCGCGCGGCCGCCGCGCGCGCATGTCGAAATCCTGCCAAACACAATGGGTTTTCAATAATTTCAAGATGCGATGTTCAGAAAACATATGAAAACGCACTACTTTCTCATCCGAAAAATCTCGAAATCCATTCGCGGTCTCTTGAAGAATCTTTAAAACCCAAGATGGCCCCAACAGCCGCGCCGTCTGCGTTCTTCCTTTCTCGCTTCTCTCCTTTCCTCCTTGTCCTGCTCCTCCTCCCCCTCTTCCGCCTTGGAGCCGTATTGGAACTGTCGATGGCCATCTCCCTTTCTCCCTCGCATGTCTGCTTGTACATACGTATAATTTCAGAACTTACCGTGCATGCGATCGTTTACAACATGGTGGACCGTGCGTATGTCACGAACCTTGTATACATGTGTTTCTCTCCCTCCGTCTGGCTGTGCACGCGCGCGTTGGGCACTGAGAGTTAGGATCGTAGCGCCATGAGTCTATGAGCAATGCATGCGTCATCCTTGGGACTGTATAACATCAGTGTAACACATGTACTTCTGTAATCGCATCCCCACGAATTTGCCCCAAAAATGTGACCAACTATCTTGGCACTGCGTACCATCTCACGTGTACCGTGTACCACATCATATGTAACAGATGTGATCAACCTCTGTGGGTGTGTACCCCACGCCAGTGTAGTAGCCAGGGTCGTCCGCACGCCACGAAGTGAAGTGTCCCAACGTCATAGGGCGGGAAGCTGGGTGTGGGTGGTCTCGAAGAGTCGTTTGGATATTTGGTAGAGCTTGAACGGCCCCCCCACGAAGTGGGGGTATTGGCTGGTGTCGCCAGAAAACCCTGGCACTGGGGAGAACACTGAGCGTTCGGGTAAAATGATTGTTGTTGTTGTTGTTGTTGTTGTTGTTGTTGTTGTTGTTGTTGTTGTTGTTTGTGTGTGTGTGTGTGTTTGTTTGTTTGTTTGTTTGTTTGTTTGTTTGTTTGTTTGCTTATTGTTTGTTGTTCTCGTCGTCCCACCCGCGACCCGCCCCGCGCGACGCACCCCGCGACCCACACGCGACCCACCCGCGACCCACCCCGCGACCCACCCGCGACCCACCCCGCGACCCACCCGCGACCCACCCCGCGACCCACCCGCGACCCACCCGCGAGCCACCAACGACCCACCCCGCGACCCGCCCGCGACCCACCCCGCGACCCGCCCCGCGACCCACCCCGAGACCCCCCCCGCGACCCACCCGCGTGACCCACCCGCGACCCACCCCGCGACCCACCCGCGACCCAGTTCGCGACCCACCTGCGACCCACCGCGACCCACCCGCGACCCACCCGCGACCCACCCCGCGACCCATCCAACATCTTCGGCGCCTGCGGCGGGTTTCTTCTGCATTCGTTCCAGGTGGAGAACCTGCGACCCGCCCGCGACCCAAACTACGTTCACTGAACAAGCCAAAACTTCGGCGCCTGCGGCGGGCTGTTTTCGCATCGGCGACCCACCGTCGACCCACCCCGAGGCCCATCCGCGACCCACCTGCGACCCACCCGCGACCCACCCGCGACCCACCCGCGATCCACCGGCGACCCACCCGCGACCCACCGCGACCCACCCGCGACCCACCCGCGACCCAAACCGCGTTCAGTGTACAAATCAAAATTTTCGGCGTCTGCGGCGGGCTGTTTATGAATTCCTCCCAGGTGGAGGTGGAGAGCCCGCGACGCAACCGCGACCCAAACTACTTTCACTGAACAACCCAAAACTAGGGCGCCTGTGGCGGGCTGTTTCTGCATTCGTTCCGGGTGGCCCACCAGCGATCCCCCCCGCGCTGATTTTGCCAGGGGGAGGGAGGGGGACGAAGAGAAAGGAGGGTGGAAAAGGGGGAGGAGGAGGAGGAGGAGGAGGAGGAGGAGGAGGAGGAGGAGGATAGGAGGAGGAGGAGGAGGAGGAGGAGGAGAGGAGGAGGAGGAGGAGGAGGAGGAGGAGGAGGAGGAGGAGGAGGAGAGAGGAGGAGGAGGAGGAGGAGGAGGAGGAGGAGGAGGAGGAGGAGGAGGAGGAGGAGGAGGAGGAGGAGGAGGAGGAGGAGAGGAGGAGGAGGAGGAGGAGGAGGAGGAGGAGGAGGAGGAGGAGGAGGAGGAGGAGGAGGAGGAGGAGGAGGAGGAGGAGGAGGAGGAGGAGGGAGGAGGAGGAGGAGGAGAGGAGGAGGAGGAGGAGGAGGAGGAGGAAAGAGGAGGAGGAGGAGGAGGAGGAGGAGGAGGAGGAGGAAGAGGAGGAGGAAAAAAAGCAAAATAAGAATAATAAGAATACTACTAAGAATAATAATAAGACTAAGAATAAGAAGAATAATAAGAATAAGAAGACTAATAATAATAAGAATAATCATAATAATAAGACTAAGCAGAAGAAGAGGAATCATAATCAGAACACTAATAATAATACTAATAACACTAATAATACTAATACTACTAATACTACTACTAATACTAATAACAATAATAATACTAATACTACTAATAATAATAATAATACTAATAATACTAATACTAATACTAATAATCATAATAATAATAATACTAATAATAATAATACTAATACTAGTAATACTAATAATGATAATAATAATAATAATAATACTAATAATACTACTAATAATACTAATAATATTAATAATAATCATAATAATACTACTACTAATAATAATATTATTAATAATAATACTACTAATAATAATAATACTAATAATAATACTAATACTAATACTAATAATAATAATAATAATACTAATAATAATAATAATAATACTACTACTAATAATAATAATAATAATAAATATAATACTAATAATAATAATAATAATAATAATAATAATTAAAAAAAAATAATAATTAATAATAATAATAATAATAATAATACTAATAAGAATAATAATAATATTAATCATAATTAAGATTAATAATACGAATCTAATAATACTTAGCATAAGAAAAGAGAGAGAATAAAATAGGAGGGGAGGAGGAGGAGGAGAGGAGGAGGAGCGAGGAGGGAGGAGGAGGAGGAGGAGCAGCAGGAGCCAATGACGCAGGAACGGGAGGAGGAGGAGGAGGAGGAGAGGGAGGAGGAGGAGAGGAGGGGAGGAGGACCGGGGAGGGGTGAGGAGGAGGGGGTAGGCGGAGGAGGAGGAGGAGGAGGAGAAGAGAGGAACGGGGAGGAGGAGGAGAGGAGGAGGAGGAGGAGGAGGAGGAGGGGAGGAGGAGGAGGAGGAGGAGGAGGAGGAGGAGGAGGAGGGGGAGGGGGAAGGGGAGGAGGAGGGGGAGGCGGAAGAGGAGGAGGAGGAGGAGGAGGAGGGGAGGAGGAGGAGGAGGAGGAGGAGGAGGAGGAGGAGGAGGAGGAGGAGCAGCAGGAGACAAGAGCAGGAACGGGAGGAGGAGGAGAGGAGGAGGAGGAGAGGAGGAGAGGAGGAGGAGAAGGAGGCTTTTAAGAGGAAGAGGAGGAGATGGAGGAGGAGGAGGAGGAGGAGGAGGAGGAGGAGGGAGGAGGCAGGAGGAGGAGGAGGAGGAGGAGGAGGACGGACGGACGGAAGGGGGGGGGGAACGATCGTGAGGGGGAGGAAGCAGAAGGAAAAGGAGGATGAGGATGAGGATGAGGATGAGGAGAGATGAAGATGAGATGAGGGAGGAGAGAGGAGGAGGAGGAGGAGAAGGAGGAGGAGAGAGGAGGAGGAGGAGGAGAGTGAGGAGGAGGACGACGAGCAGGAGGAGGAAGAAGAGCAGGAGGAGGAGGAGAAGGAGGAGGAGGAGGAGGAGAAGGAGGAGGAGGGCGCCATCGACAGGGAAGGTGAGGGCCACGAGGTCCGCCGGCTCGACGCCCGCGTCGCCCGCGCCCACCCCCTCACTCTTATCCGCAATTGCGGGGTGCTACGTGTGTGTATATATATGTACACCGTATACATACAATATTTGTATATATATATATATACACATGTAGGTATGCTCGTGCTGCACAGGCCGGCGGGGCTGCCGGGGAAGAGCTGATGTGGCAGACCAGGCTCCTGGCCCTGTGCTTGCTTGCCTTTGCGGTCGCCCTGGACGGGCTGCACCAAGTGCTGGCGGTGGCCCGCGCTGGCTTCTTCTGGGGCGCTGACGTCCTAGGGGAAGCGGAGGACATCGTTTAAGTTCTCGAAGCACCATGACATCTCCCTCTTCCTCCTCCTCCTCCTCCTCCTCCTCGTCCCCTTCCTCAATTTCTTCAATCTCCTCAACTTCCTCCTCCTCCTTCTCCTCCTTCTCCTCCTTCTCCACCGGGCCATGGTACCTCAGCCCCACCAGCCCACCCTCCTATAGCAGGCGGGGAGCGGCCCGGTAAAGCCCGAAGGCACAGGCAAGCCCCCTTACCTGCGTGGTTACGTCGGCCACATGCCCAGAGGAGCGGGGCGGCGGGGCCTGGGAGCCGGCGGCCGCCGGCCTGCTGTCCGCGCTGCACGCCCTGGGGCTGCTTGGCACGCTGCTCATAGTTTGCGGGTACTGGCGCCACTACAGGGCCGCGTGGCGGCGGCTCTTCGAGGAGGATCCTGGCCGCCGCCGCCCGATCTCCGAGGGCCCCGCCGGCTTCGAGCGCGAGCCCCCCGAAAGCAAGGGCGCCTGGCCCTGCCCGGCCTGCGACGAGCCGAACAACGCGGACCGGGCCCTGTGTAACAACTGCAGCGGGCCCCGGCCGCCCGCCGCGAGGGCGGCCGCCGGCAGCAGGAGCGGCGCGCCGGCCGCCCGCGCGCCGGCGCGAGGTGGAGGCGTGCGCGCGGCCGACTGCGGGCTTGGCAGCGGGGCCTCCGCCGCGGAGGCCGCGGGCGCCGCCGCGCGGGCGAGCGGCCTGCGAGGCGCTGCCGCGGGCGCGCGGCGGGCCGACGCGCCGCCGAGGCCCGCCGAGCCCGAGGCCAGGCCCAGGGCGGCCCAGGGCAGGCCGCCGCGGCCCTCTGCGGGGTCCGTCGACCCCCGCGAGGGGCCGGCGCCGGAAGACAAGGCGCCGCCCGCGGCGGGGCGGGGGCCAACCGGCGCGGAGGCGCCGAGAGGGCGCAGCGCCACGCCGCCGGGGGGCGGGCGGAGCACGGCGGGGGCCGGTGCCCGCGGCCCTGCCGGCGCGGAGGCGCCGAGAGGGCGCAGCGCCACGCCGCCGGGGGGCGGGCGGAGCACGGCGGCGGACGGTGCCCGTCGCCCTGCCGGCGCTAGGGGCTCACTTACCCTGCGATCCTGGCGTCGCATTTTTTCCACATCAGTTTTTTTTTTTTTGTGTGTGTTTGTTTGTTTGTTTGTTTGTTTGTTTGTTTGATTTATTTATTTTTGTGGCCCCAGCACCCTCACATATCGATCCGGCTCGAAGAGTGGCGCTGAAAGATGGGGTCCAGTGCTCTGGGTGTGATTTTGTTGCGATGCTGTATTTGTTTTGCAGCGCCAGATCTCAGGGTATTGGGGTCAGGCCGTCCCTTCTTGCTGGCCCAGATTTCTCAGGGTCACGTCATGCAGAAATCACGACGCCGGGGGTCTGGGTGCTCGGGGTCAGACAGTCTCCTCTGGCTGGCCCGGGGTCTGGGAGCCGCGTGGGGCCGATTCCCCCGTTCCGCCCTCCGCTGGCCCAGGCTCGGGAGTTGCCGAGCGGCCGGCCAGGCTTCGCGACACGGCCCTGGCTGGCCCAGGCTAGTGCTGGTACATTCCCAGACCCCCTCGAGGAATGAAAACATCAGTACGAAAGGTTTTTCTTAATTTTTGGCCTCCAGGGGCCCTCACGGGGCCTCGGGACCGGCAAAAAAACGACTCAGGATGCAAAGCTGGTCGCGTGGAAAGGGTCGGGACCTTTGGGGGTCGACGTAATGAAATAATCATTACGTCGGCGGTCTGGGTTGCGTGCCCGAGGCGCGCCGCGGGGCCGGGAGAGCGACTTCATGTGGCGGTCCCCCAGCTCGCCGCCGTTGGCGTGGCTGTGGTCCGGCGGCCAGTGGCTCCGGGTGCGCGTGCTGCGCACGGAGGGCGGCGGTGCGACCGTGCGCCTCCCCGGGGGCGGCGTGGTGAGCGCCAGCCAGAAGCTCCTGCGGCCCCGGAGCTCCGACGAGGAGGCGACGCAGAACAAGAATTGCCCCAGCAAAGCACCCTCGTAGCAGCAACGGTTAAGAGGCGGGTCGAGCAGTAGGAGGTCGGCGGTCCGCTATCGAACACGTGTATTGTGAAGGCCTTACGGCCGGTGCCGCCGACCCTGAAGTCGACGAGGAGGAGGAGTAGGAGAAGGAGGAGGAGGAGGAGGTGGAGGAGGAGGAGGAGGCTGAGGAGGAGGAGGAGGATGATGAGGAGGAGGAGGAGGGAAAGGAGGCGGAGGAGGAGGATGAGAAGGAGGATGAGGAGGAGGACGCGGTGGAGCATCAGGAGGGGGAGGATTGGGGAGGAAGGAGCAGTAGGAGGACGAGGATAATGGAAGTCGGAGGAGCAGGAGAAGAAGGAGGACGCGGAGGAGGGGGAGGAGGAGGAGGAGGAGGAGGAGGAGGAGGAGGAGGAGGAGGAGGAGGAGGAGGAGGAGGAGGAGGGGGGGGGGCAGGAAAAAGTGGATGATCGGAAGGACGAGGTCGAGGTAATGTTGCGGAGGGCCGGAAGAAGGGCACACGAAGGAGTGGGGCAGCATGAGGAGGATGCTGATGAGGAGGATGAGGATGACGAGGAGGAGTATGCGATACAGGGGGATGAGGAGGAGAAAAAAGGGTGATGATGATGCTGCTGATGATGATGATGGTGGTGATGATGATGCTGATGATGATAATGATGATGATGATGATGATGATGATGATGATGATGATGATGATGATGATGATGATGATGATGAAGGTGCTGCTGATGAAACTGATGATGATGATGATGCTGATGCTGATGATGATGCTGCTGCTGATGATGCTGTTGATGATGCTGATGCTGCTGATGATGATTCTGATGATGATGCTGCTGAGGATGATGACGATGATGATGATGATGGTGCTGCTGATGATGATGCTGATGCTGATGATGCTGCTGATGATGCTGATGACGATGACGATGACGATGATGATGATGTTGATGATGATGATGATGATGATGATGATGATGATGATGATATGATGATGCTGATGATGATGCTGATGCTGCTGCTGATGATGATGCTGATGCTGATGCTGATGCTGATGATGATGATGCTGATGATGCTGCTGATGATGACGATGATGAGGATGCTGATGATGATGACGATGATGATGCTGATGCTGCTGATGATGAGGATGATGAGGATGTTGAGGATGTTGATGACGATGATGATGCTGATGATGATGCTGATGATGATGATGTGGTGATGGTGGTGTGATGATGATGATGATGCTGATGCTGATGAGAGATGGTGATGATGAGGAGGATGTTGAGGATGTTGAGGATGATGAGGATGAGGATGGGGATGAGGATGAGGATGAGGATGATGATGATGATGATGATGATGATGATGATGATGATGATGGTGATGATGATGATGATGATGATGATGATGATGAGATGATGATGATGATGATGATGATGCTGATGATGATGATGATGATGATGATGATGATGATGATGATGATGATGATGATGATGATGATGATGATGATGGTGATGATGCTGGCGATGGTGATGCTGCTGCTGAGGAGGAGGAGGAGGAGGAGGAGGTGGAGGAGGAGGAGGAGGAGGAGGAGGAGGTGGAGGAGGAGGAGGAGGAGGAGGAGGAGGAGGAGGAGGGTAAGGAGGTGAGGAGCAGGGGGAGGAGAAGATGTTTGTCGGGTCTCTTCGGGGCGCTTTCGGGGGCCTGCGGTGGGCAGTTTTGGGGCGTGTTGGGAGACTCTTGGGGGCCTGCAGGGGCTTCCTGGGGGCTTCTTGGGGGCGTCTGGGAGGCCTCTTGGGGCCTCCCGAGAGCTTCTCGCGGGCGAGGGCTCGAGAGGTTGGAGCTGTCTTGGGTGCATGTTGGCTTGTCATGGAGGCCTCTCGGGCCGTCTTGGGGCCCTCGTGGGCCATGTTGGGCACCTCTTGGAGGACTTTGGGCCGTCTTGAAGCGATCTTGGGAGCCTCTTGGGCCGTCTCGGATAGTCGGGAAGCGGAGGAGGCGAGGACGCCCAAACCCGTCAAACATTTAGGGATGCGTATTTGGCTGGTGACCTCTCCTGGGACCAAGGCTTATCTCCCCTGGGACTCCCCCAGGGACCCCCCCCCGTCCCCCCCCCCGACGGGGGAGGGATCAAAGGGAGGGGGCTCCTGGGGCCCTTTTGGGACCCAGGACTTCCCGGGATTGATGCGTATCTGGGTGGCGACCTCCCCCAGGACCGAGGCTTATCTCCCCCGGGACCCCCCCTGGGATCCCCCCCCCTCCCGACGGGGGAGTGATCAAAGGGAGTGGGCTCCTGGGGCTTTTTTGGGACCTGGGACTTCCCGGGAGGGATGCGTATCTGGGTGGCGACCCACCGGGAGACCAAGGCGTATCTCCCCCGGGATACCCCCTGGGACCTCCCCCCCGACGGGGGAGGGATGACATTTTCCCTTCGATTGAATTTCCTTCCGATAGAATTACGACGTTACTCAATTTCGCTTTGGCTGGCGCGCTTGGGGAAGAGGGCCCAGGAAAAAGGGGGGGAGCGGCGACGGGCCCAGGGAGATGGGGGCCGCAGGGAAAGGATCCGGCAGAGACGACGACTAGCGAATGACCAAGAGGACGACTCGAACGGACAAGCCCCTCACACACGCCGACAGGGTCGGCGGATTTTTAGGTATTCCTGTGTATTTCTAGTGATTCCTAATTCCTAGGGGTTCCTCGGATGAGGGTCCAAGATTCAGCCGGGTCTCTGGTGAGAGCACGGCCATGTGCACCATAGTCTCGCCAAACAGTGCTTGCACTCAGGGGTTCTTAATTGGGCTAAAAGGAACTGGGCCTGGGTGTCGGTCCAGCCGGCTTGTTGTCGCCGTCGACGCCAGTCGCCGCCGTCCGTCGCCGCTGCTACTGCGCTTGGTTGTCGGTCGCCGCGCTTGTTGTCGCCGTCGCCGCTGCCGCCCGTCTCCGCATTGCTTTGATGTTTTTGCACTTCTTTGAATAGCTTTGCGCCGCATAGACTGCGCCACATGCATTGCACAACCTAGGTTACACCACATTGATTGT